TTAACAATTGTGAAGAAAAGTGTTTCTGATGATGAATGTTAATAATAGCCTAAGATAGATTGTCATAATAACAGCAAAAGAAAAATATGAAAATATTGGTTATAATAACAGTAGCAGCAGCAATAACAATACTAATGATAATAATAATAGCATTTGGAAATGAGTAGAAAGGGAAAGTAAAAAAGAGAGAGGGGTGAGAGGGGGGAGATGGAAAGAGGGAGACATGGCAGAGGGACAGAGAGTGAGACTTTTAGTTGCAATGATAAAGAATAACCCCCCCCCCCCCACCTTCCTCTCTTCGCTTTCTCTCTCCCATTCCCCATCTTTTTCTTTTTCTCCCCCCTCCACTCTCTCTTTCCACCTTCCCCCCACTCTTTCTGTCTGTTTCCAACTTCCCCATTCTTTCTTTCTCCACCTTCATCCTTTTTCTTTCTCCTACCAGCACCCACTTCTTTCTCTTCTTCCTCTTAAAAAGGAAGAAATCTATTGGTATATCCCGCCGAGTAATGTGGCTAAATCTAATAACATGTCGGTACCTTTCTTAACTATTTAATTCACATCCCACTTTTCTTTTTTTTAGGTGAAGACTAAACATTATAGTTCGGGTTATATGATACTCAGATATAACAATTTGCTACATAGCTGTCGTTAGTGATTTAACACTAAGGTTATTAATCATTAAAAGATGAGGGCACTGATATAACGCAAACTACGGCACTTCCCCGAGTATAATGACAAGTGTTCCCATGATTGTAAATGCAATTGTCTTTACAGTGTCACTGGATCATTTTAGTAACTTTTTAGTGAATTTAGTAAATTAAGCATCGAAGTATTCAGTTATCAATACACTTGCATGCATTTTTTGGCCAATTATCCCTAATATATCATAGAAGAACCTTATGGTATGAGGTGTTCATGTCTAGTGCAAAAAATAAAACGGGTACATTAAATTGCGATACATTGCGGTGTCTCTATATTCTTAATACTTAAATGACAAATCGACTGCTCTGTACGAGATTCAATGCCTGAGCTTCTAGAGAAGAAATAAAGAGTCGTATATCATTTAACTATCCCTTTACTTTATCACCTATTTACCTATTTATTCGTTTCTGTTTACGTGTCACTTGTTACCCTTCTGCCCCGTGCAACTTCATTCCATCTTGCAAAGATCCCCTAACATTTGTCTTTTTCTGTGTACCTATCTGTCTGACATTCTTTTCCTGTGTGTCTGTGTGTGGTTCCCTTAGATCTTCAGCAAACATATCTAATGTAAAATCGCGTGCATTTCATGGTGGAATGAACCTTAAATCATGTGAAATTAATAACAATAGCATACATGTTTTTTAATGTATAGTATTCGAGACATTTTCAAGAAAAATATTGTACTGGCTTTAGACCGCAATGGTTTAAGGCTCTGCTTATCACTTTATATACATATAAGCATTTGTCGCCAAACTGAATTTCAGAATGAAAAAATGAAGTTAGATTTTTTCTGAAAATCAAGTGTAGACGAAGGCTATGTAAAGTGTTGCATTATCGTAAGCTGGTTGCAAAATGAGATTCCAGTGTGTTCGAGAAATAAGACATAACGTGAAAACAAACTAGATACAGGAAAATACTGATCATGACAAGGGCATGTGTTGTACTCATTAACAGTGCACTGTCGACAGCGAAACAAAACTTGAAAAAAAAAAATCTGTAGACTATATTGCAACAGCTAACTTTGACCGGGGCAGTTCGCTACAGTCTCTCTCTCTCTGTCTCACACACACACACACATATATATATGTATGTATATGTGCATATATATGTATATGCGTGTATATATATATATATATATATATATATATATATATATATATATATATATAACGTGTGGGTGTGTGCGCGCACGAGTAAGTATATATAAAGAGACCCCCCTGCATGCACAGAAATATGAACGCGTGTATGTATGGTGTATTTGCAATACCTAACAAAATTGTTTGTGACAAGTAGCATTACATATTCTGGTAAGTTTAGATAAGTTGAAACTAAAGAATATACAGTTTGACGTCTGTAACCTCGACGGTTAGTTCGGGAAATTTCTAGATTTTTTAACCACCGAATAGGTAATTGATGAGAAAATGATGTTTACTATTACGTATCTAGCGCTCACTCACCTAACCCTACACTCATACCTACTTTACCTAAGAGGTACTCATTAATGTTGCTTACCTTACCTGGTGCTCCTTTACCTTTACTTTTACTTATATTGTCTTTCTAATTTGGCAATCACTTTACATAGCACAAATTATCAACCACCCTTATCTGGCGCTCGCTGACATTGATATGGTGCTCTCATGCCTTTCTTACTTGATCTTAGCCCTTAACCCTTTACTGGTTTTCGTTTATGAACTCTGAATTCACGTAATAAATGTTGCTTAAGTGATGTACAATTACCTTGATTTAATCCCTCTAGCAATTCCGGTGCTGAAGCTTCAGGTGTACCAGCGGTGCCCATTTAGTTCTCTAAATTATTACTTATCTGGAATTCACATTAATTATCTCACCTGACGCCCATTTATGTTACCTACTTTACTTGACTGGTACTTAGATTAGCATTCACGTTAATTATGAGGCGTATACTTATTTTATTTACCTGGCAGACATTATTTCCCTTATTTATAAGGCGCTCGCTGACTTTACTTACCTAGTGCTCACTCACCTTACTGATCTACTGTCACATACCTAACATCCCTAAAACTGACTTTCAATACCTATTTTTTTTTTTTTTTTTCTTTTTTTTTTTTTTTTTTTAGTGCCATTCACCTGGTATACCAAGCACTCACTCTATTTACCTGATGCTTATTCAGTTTATTTTCCTGGTATATGCTTGCCTTACTTATATAGCATACATTAATTTTCTTACCTTATTGATCTGGTGCTCGATGCTCACTTGCCCTACTTGGTTGTTTTTATCAGTATCATTGGTACGTTATATACATTTTATACACGGTACTCACATTCCCTAACACTTACATAGTGCTTACACAATTTAACTTACCTGTTACACACTTGCCTTGCTTTACCTTGTATACCTAGCGCTCCTTTATCTTATTAATCCGGTACGCACGCATTTAACCTAATGTTCATTTACCTATCCTGGTTCTGTTTTTTTTTTTTTTTTTATGGCATGCACAATATCATGATCCGTGTAAGCCATTGGCTCAAGATCCCGCCTGCAGACCAGGGTCTAAATCAGGGGTGTGCAACCTTTTTTCCCAAAGGGCCACTAGTCACGACTCTGTTGGTATGGAGGGCCACATAACCTTACTATTTCATGTTATTTACTACGGTCGAAGACATATGTGAGATTATACTAAGCACACGTACCATACTACAGTACGTGAACCATACGTGTCAGACAGCCAATGATCACTCAATCTAATAATTAAAAATGTCAAGTAATATATTATTTTCTGTTCTAATATAATTAAAATCTGTACCTTAGTGAACGAAATAGAAAAAATATGGTGATACTGGTACACGAGAATATGAATTTTGTCAAACTTTCGGTGGGCTCTACTTGGTAACTCTCTCTCTCTCTCTCTCTCTGAGGGCCGCACTATAGTTTATTTTTAGGAGAAAGGGCCCCAATGAAAGCCTTTGAGGGCCGCAGGTTGCACAGGGCTGGTCTTAATCAAGCTTCACACATCTGCCATATGGGCTGTATCATCTTAAATGCCTTGTGTTGTACTCTTCATCGAAAGGGTCAAGCCATATACCGCTATCATAGTCCAACCAATCGTATGAAAATCCCGCAGCCTTCTACACTCGTGTTGGATATTTTACATACCTAGCACTCACATACCTTACCTAGCGCTGATGTTACCTAATGTTTACTCATTTTACGTACCTGGTACACATTTTTTTTTTTTTTACCTAACACACATTACTTTCCACACCTACCTGGCCCTAACTTAATAATCTGACACTCACTTCCCTTACCTGGCTCTAGTTTTTTAACCGATACATATTAAATACTTTACATACCAAGTGCTCATTTACTTTACCTAGCAATCTTTACTTACCTGATACTTAATCATTATATTTACCTAGCACATACTTTCCTTACTACACACGTGCCATAATTGCCTGATGCATAGCGTGCCTTGCCTGGCTCTATTTTATCTGGCTCTAACGTTTTAGACTTTGCCTACCTGGTTCTCACTGATCTTACTTAACACTCACATTACTTACCTGGCACCCTTGCCTTACTTACCTGACACACCATTGCTTTACTTATCTGACACACCATTGCCTTACTTACCTGGCACACCATTGCCTTACTTACCTGGCACACCATTGCCTTACTTACCTGGCACACCATTGCCTTACTTACCTGGCATACATTACTTTCCTTACCTACATTCAGCTTACCTTGACTGGCTCTCGTTATTTTTATTGTCAGTCACATTCCTGGGACTCGCTTACCTAGCACTCACATTACTTACCTGGCACACGCTTGCCTTACTTACCTGGCGCTCGTTTACCTTATTGATCTGGCGCTCATGTACCTAACTTGACGCTCACTTGCATTACCCACATTCAAATTATATAGTTTATCTGTCACTAACTTATTGTACTAAATGTACAACTAACAAGAGAATATAGATTGAGTGAGAGATGAGATTTTCCTATATCCGAGACTTGTAAGTTTGACTTGGGACGTGACGACTTTCTGTTGCATTTTTTTATGAATAGTATAGGTGTCATTAAATAGATGCAAAATTAGTATATAAAAAAAAAACATTTTTTTATCAGTCTATGTGTGTGCATAGATCATCAGATTACTCATTGCTTCACTACTCAGTATTGAGAAATTGAAGAATTTAAGCATTAGATGACACAAATTTTGTTATATAAATTATGTAACAGTTGGTATATTGCCCTAAGCAGAACGGATGTAATTAGTAATTTAAAGACGACAGTCTTTGCGTCAGGAGTCGTAGATACATGTTTAATAAGCATTTGCAATGCCAAAAAGAGGCCTTCATTAATTTCCATTTCTTGCCTTTCCTTTGCATTTCAGTTTAGAACTATAAAATGGATCTGTTACTGTTGTGAAAGTGGTCCTAATTGCACAAGTGCTCTTAGATTTCTTTCTACATATGTATATATACGTCTGTGTGATGGTGTATCAATCTACGTGATTCCATGTGTTTGCATTAACGTTTCTTTGTTGTTGTTGTTTTCAAATATCTGCATCCGTATTTTAGTCTCAAATAAATCAGTCAGTGTAAGTTTTAGAGCCAATGAAAATCTCGAACGAAAACGCTACACTTATTTCTTGCATAACCAGTGTTTGTTGGTCTATTCAAGCTTTATAATTCTTTACGTATTTAAACTAGCGATGCATCTACGGATGAATTTCACTTCTCAAAATGATAAAAGGCTTTAACGATAACTTTACCGCCGGCTACACCAAACCACGCAGATGTCAGATGCCAGTTCCTTGCGAGTCATGTAACATTTGTCTCTCTTTACCTGATCTTGATGCAGTTAAAAAGCCAAATGCATTTACCACATTCATATTGTAATTTATCGTAAATCAATAAATTATAGACTAGTGTGGTCTTCTAGTTAAAATAAACACACCTATCATTTCAGAAGAACGTGTTACTTGGTCGTAATCATTTTTTTTTTAAGGCTTATATATATATATATATATATATATATATATATATATATATATATAATATATGATTTATAATACATAAAATATATATTTACATATATATATATATATATATATAAATGTAAATATATATTTTATGTATTATAAATCATATATTATATATATATATATATAAAAAAATTTGTTTGGCTCTGCCTTTAAGTTTAAAATTCATCCAGACATATCACATATTTCTTGCAATGGAAAGATGTAAATCCGTAAATATACATACATACACATATATAGTATATTTTATATATATATATCATTCATATACAGTAGATATGTATATCATATATATTATATACTATCAATATATGTACTATCTATGTATTATATATTAACTATGTAGTATATATATATATTTTTACAACTTCCCTGCTTCAGCTACTAAACCCAACTTTTCCACAAACGCTGACTTCACCTGTACTTTACATAAAGATCATCTCTCAACATCTCCAATCCCTTTAACCTGCAAGTACATCCTCCAAAAATGGTACCGCACTTTTCAATGCCATACTCATAACGCCAGCAGTATCTCTCCAAATGAGAAAAGGATTTAGAACTCCATCAGTATCTTTTGAAGCTGATCCATGAAACTTATGCGGTGCACACAAATCAATAACGTCAGGCAACTTCTTACTATCAGGTTCTGACACAAGAGTTAGTTACTGGCTTATGTTCCTTATGTTTAAGTTTGGGACAGTCTCGCATTCTGTGATCAGAGGATTTACAATAAAAACAAGTCCCATTAAATTTACTTGAATCTGGACTACTACAAGACATACTAAATCCTTTACTGGCTGAATCAGTATAAAGAAAATCAGTTCTCCTCTGACTATGATAAAGGAAACGTGTCATGGTGTAGTTTAGCATAAACAATTTTCTTTGGTGCATGAACTAAACTATATTTTTTTGCTAACCACACAGCACTCTCAACAGAAATTATTTCTCTTGTGGTTCTCCTCCGAGATAATGTTCCAACATGATTATTTCACATATGTCATTATATTCAAAATCTTTGCTAGCAGACATCCAACTATTAAATAAGTTCTATATCAAGTGAGAGTTTTCAACAAATGTCTGACGGGATTCTTTATTCCAGTGTCTGATCTTCTTTCTGTAAAAATCTGGAGCAAGTCTATAGGACTTTAACACTGACTCTTTACCTTTTAGGGTTGACTGTACTAATTGCGACCAATATTGAGTTGACCATAAGAGACTAGTTGCAGCATGCTCAAATTGGAGGAAAAATTCTATTGGATGATTATTTACTTTAGTTATATCAAAGCCAAGAATATGCCCATCTGGCATAAAAGACATTGCAACAGCAGGCTGCCGCTCTAACATTTCCAACTGAAATTTATATTCCTTTTCTCTTTCGTCGCTATCTCATCTATCTTCCAACTCAGTCTTCTTAATACTCAATTCTCTATTAAAAATACCCTATCCAAATGACCCTGTGTTACTAAATATTTAAAACTGTCTCTATAATTTCCACCTTTTCTCCCAAAACTATTAATATCAATTCTCTAATAATTTGTCATCCCAATCCAGCTATTCGTCTCTGTCTCACACAATTCTGTTGAAGGTTCACTAATAAATTTAAGATCAAATACAGACATTGTGGCACTAAAGGCCATTTTGGTAGTATTTCCAAAACCCCAAACAATTTGATACACTGAGATACATGTTTGCGTACATCATTGGAGCCTGTTGAAACATCTTTTCGGTTTATATCAATCTGGATACCTCTACTTTAATACACTCTAGCCAACCAATCA